ACTTGAATCGTTGCATCCGGAGTAAGGGAAGTGACTCACATTCTGAATGAAGACGCGATTCGATCGCACGGCGCCAATAAAATGGCCTAAAAAATGGCCACGCATCACTGCGCCAAAACCAAGACCACTCAATGCAGACTGTGCTATAAAGTTAGCGTTCCTGCAGTCTATGGGATGTTGTCTTCGCCAAAGATAGCGTACGCGGTAGTCCACAGGTTCACTGAAGGAAAGAGGGTCGGCTGCTGACGCGTCCCAGTAGGGACAATTCACAGATTGATATCCAAGGTCCTTGGCTTTGCAACCACCCTGACAAAATATGTTCAAATGTAATATCACTTAGACACTTAGAGTACATTTGTGCGTAAATTCTAATCCCCTCGAGTCCCCTCGACATGTATTTTAGAGATTTTCTCTGCTTCCTTTGATCCTTTGTATCTCTTCCTCGTACCTTCGCATCAGAATGTCCTGCAACAGAGTTAGTAACTTTTTTATATGTGTCACTTAATGTGATTGATGGAGGAGACGACCACGTAGTATTGGTATCTTCTCTCAAAGAAGATTGATTGCTCTGTGCGCCGGAGTCAGTCGTTACTATTGCGTTCTGGAGGGCATATTTCGTCGTGTCAGTTGCTGTGAAGGAGTAATACCCGATGATCGTCAGGACTAGCGCTACCATATGAAGAGCATAGAGCCCAAAATATCTTCCACTTCTTTTATCCGCTCTTTTAGGACGTAAAGCTGGCATGGCGGATGACTTTTGCCCAGGCTTTAAATTGGCATGAGCTTCTTGCGGGAAGGCTGTCTCTTGATTGGGTAAGAATTTCAAGTAATTTAATCATTGTTCAGCTGAGATTCTCATACATTGAATAAATCTATGATTTATTCGATTTTTATACGAAGGAGAGGACATAGAATGTGAGGAAAATTCATCATCAGGTGCAAAGCTTCGCGCAGCGAAGATCTATGGAATTAAAAAAGTACATATGTCCCCTCTTTGTAGTCTTTTGAGAATGTTTCCACAACTTTGACTGAAGTAGACGTCATTACGCGGACTTGATATTTATAAGAGCACTTATTCAGTTGTGCATTGGAAACTTGGCATCGTGGCTCTAATTGCAGTTCGGACGCCAGGGTCGGGCCCGGCTGTCGCGGACACGAAAGAGAATGACTTTCCTCCCTAGCATTGATAAGGCAAATCCTCACCTGTCAAATATAGTATACAAGGACGAGTAGAAGAATTATAAGTGTAAATGTATATTTATGTATTATTCTATACATATGAAGTTATAACCATTAACATGCATGTATCGTGTAACGGATGAGGAACGTGACATCGCGGGAGAAACGGCTTCGAATTCAAACTTTTCAATCTTGGTCGGAACTTGTGGCGTCAAAGGACAAGATTCGACTGCTTCTAGCGCCATGTTTACATCATTACAGGTTTATTAAATAGAGAATTATACCAAACGATAGGGATGAGTAAGAAGTGCAAAAAAAAAAAAACGCAGTGGGTGAAAAGATGATACATATTCGGTTTTGAAAATGTATGACGACCTTCGAATGAAAAAGGTTGATTCATGGTTGCTTTCTACATCCGCTTTCGTTGACACAAAACATGAGATTTGCACCAGGTCCGTGAATTTCTTCCATATGAGACCATAAAATGGCGTATTTATCCTATTTCTATGCTGTAATGGTTGCTTGATAAGTTCAACATAAGGTTTTCCCGCGCACGAAAGCTTTCCCAGCCTCAGGTGCTTAATTTATTCCAGTCTGTTTTCCGGTTGCGCGTATCTCTTTGATTAAGAACCCAAAATCAAAGGTTTCACGTCAAATATATCTTGGAGTACAGTTCTTATGGCGGCGGCCGCTGGCTAGAGCACATGCACCATACCGGCCATCATCACGCCTAGCCAGGCGAAGGAAGTGCTCTTGTCGTGTGTACTTTGCTTACTTCATGGGGCAAAGAGAGAAAAAACACACGGAAGGCAGTAAGACATGGTGATGACAACGTTAAGGTGATATTGGTATTTGTTCAAGAGCACGTGGTATATTTTTCGAAAACTTGCCACGTCGCTGCATCCGTTTCCTTCCTTGAAAAGAAATGGAGCGTACATAAGATGTAATGTATACATCGTCTCGAAATAAAACCAAAAATTACTTAACAATGTAATTTTATTGGGTGTTTCGACGTCTACTAGTTATTGCTGGATCAGTAACGCATTAGTAGGCTCTTCTGCACATAAACTTTGTGTGTACACCAAAAAATGTTCGAGAAACTCAATGACACGTCAGCTCAAAATCTCTGAGGTACGACCTCGCTTCAAAGAGGTGACAATCCGAGCTCGAATATGCTCTTATCTAGCTTCCCTAAATTGCGTTGTTTTACGCTGTTGTGTCCTGGTCATCTATCAAAAACCTAGTAACATTCAGTGAAGCTCGCAAGGGTCGATGGTCCGATATTTTTTCACCAAATTCTCTTGGCCAAGTTCCAACATCAAGCGATATCGGGCACAAAGCGACATCCATGACCGCAACTGAGGGTACCGAGGCCTCGGATACACCCGCACCGGCCTTCGCCTCTTCTGCTCCCCAAACGACCGATGAGGCTGATGATCGGCGGGGGGATTTGGTACTTGCGGGTCCATACATCGGCCGTGACCTAGCATTCCACCTCGCACGACTCCAACTGGAGGTGGGAATAAAGTCCTTCCACGTTCGCTGCCCCGCCCCACCAATCACGTGCGTCGATCCCTCTGTCTTCTCCCTCCCGCCTGGGTCACCCCCCTGTAGAGGCCCTTCTCTCTTATCGGCCGACCTTCTTCGCGCCCAGAAACTCGGCCACGACGAATGTAAAGGAAAGGCTATAGTTGCACCTTCTGGACCTCTACTTCTGGGATCCTCCTCGGACGTGTTACCTGTCGCTCCTCTCCTTCGATGTCTGGCCGCGTTGAAGGACCTGTAAAAAATGTGATCGACCGCCACATCGTCCCCACGGTGCGTCCGATGCGTAACGAAGTCGGCCCGTCTCCCCTTTCTCCCTCCTCCCGCACGTGCTGGAAACCAAGGGCGTGGATGGGAGCCAAGACGGGGTTGGTCAAATCCACGTTGAAATCTCCGCACAGGATCTGCAGCACATCGCGCTGTCCACCCAGGGCCGGGCATCCCTTCACGTAAGCTTCTAGCATGCGCGTAAGTGATGAGACCTGTCGGTGCTGCTGGTTCTCGTCGAAGCGGTTGTGGGGAAAGGACAAATGCGTGCTCAGCAAGATGATCCGCTGCCCCTCCTGCTCCGAAGTCGCGCCTGCGAGCGTCTCGAGGTCCATCAGTAGGCCGACACGGCTACCCCAACGCGACAAGGTCGCCCCCCGCGCTCCATGTAGGCGAAACTTGCCCTTCCTGAGCAAAACACCGAGTCCGTCCTTCTTGCTCGGCCGCGGGTGGAGATAGAAGTCATAGGCGTCGGCCAAGGAAGAGGAGAAGAGAGTGGTGTAGCCCTCGTCCTGCACGAAGAACTCCTGCAGACAAATAATGTCGGTGTCGAGCTCCCTCCTGTTTAGGGCGAGAAAAAAAGGGAAAGAGGCCAGAGAAGGCACGAAAGATGAGTGGGGCCGGGAAATAGTGGTATATAAGCGAGATCTCCCTCTGCTTTCGTAGCGCTTGTTCCCCCCAATGTCAGACAGAATGCCAGATGTTACGATAAGGCATATGCAAAGTGACGAGGATCATCTATGTTTCAGCCTCTGGGCATGTAATAAACGACCTCCATCTCCGAAACTCTCCGCTCCAAGCACATGGTATAATGAGTGGCGCGGCACTACATGCATCGACCATACCAAGGCCCCGCCACAACGATGCCATCACAGAAATGCACTGTCAAGGGGTTACACTTAGCTCGTCTACTCTCCAATCGGCTTCATTGTTCAATTATCTCTGCTCAGCTTCGGCTTCTACCTCATCTTACCTAATAAATGCCGCTGTTTCCAAAGCCCTGCTCTCCATGCGCTCAGGGAAGTCTGCTTCGCGCCCTCCGTCTTTCATGCGCTTGTAGCACGGAGCCAGAATATTGAAAGTTGATATGCTTATATCTTGCTGCGTCAGCTTGTACTGCAGGGGAGGAGGACAAGGGGTGGAGGCGATGGACAGCGACGAAGAGATCGGAGGAGAGAGGAGAGAAGGATAGGGCAAGCAGGTTGTAGAAGTGATAAGCGGGGTCACTTCGGAGGATTTCTGTAGTGGTGGTGCCGAGGGCATAACGTACGGCCGGCTTGTCACGCTAAGTGTTGGGAATGGGGTAGGGAGGGTATCACATGGTTGACAGTGCAAAATATGTCCCATCCGTCGACCCCACGCGATCTAATTCCTTTTTCATCCACCAGACCTACACGTTGTGCTTCTCACCTTGCTGCATTACAACTGAGAGTCGCAGGAAGAGAGCTCGATGGCGGGGTCCCAGGTATTTTACCGGGGGCTGCAACCGAGGGCCTTGGAGGAGGAGGTGTGCCAAATGCAGCGAGCGATGGAGGGCGATGGTGCCGCGGGGTTGCGAAAAGAGAGCCCGCGGCTTCAGTGTACATGCAGTAGCAAAGGATGAGGGCTAGGACTGAGACAGGTCGAGAGCCAGAGGCGAGGGGTCGACGCCTTTTGTGTCCTTTAGGCATTCGATCGAGAGGAGGCGGTGACGTAATGACCTCACGTCCTCGCCAAGGAAGCGTGTACCTACGCGGAACAAGAATGCGAGTGCCGCACGAAGATGAAATCAATCGCAACCTGCGTCGGGCATGTATAAAATTGGTGCGGTGAGGTGCTTCGATGGAAGGGAACAGACACCGGGGAAAGGTCTGGAAAAACAAATGCCAAGGCAGGCTGGGAGGGACGGCGGGCATGCGTCGCCGCGTGAGACGGGACGTGTCACGCCCCCCCTGATTTTTGCCAGAGGAAAATGGGGGCCGCCGGCGGACCAAAATTTTGTCCCATCCTTCTTTCTTCTGGTATTTCCCATATCAGGTTGTGGACTTGGACATCCCGCGCAGCGCATGGCACATCTTTGCGCTGTGCGTGTCATTGTGGGACAGAGAAAAGCATTTGTCTGCGACCATTTACCTCCCAGTGCCCCCCCGCTTGCCTCCTGCCGTTAAGCTGCTGCGCTCGCTAGAAATCGGCACGAGCCATGCCACGCTTGTATCGTCCCTCCTTCCGCCACGTCCAAGGAATGCGTATACCTTGGCATCGAGCGATAGCACGCTATGCCTCTCTCCCTCGAGGGCTACGTCTGTCTTCTGCCGTCCAGGCAGCACTGGCTGCGCACAAGCCCGTCGTGGCTCTGGAATCCACCATTATCACGCACGGCATGCCATACCCTACCAATCTCCAAACTGCACGAGAGGTAGAAAAAATCGTCTCAGCCGGAGGGGCCACGCCGGCAACCATCGCGGTCATGGACGGCCATTGCTGTGTGGGTCTGTCACCTTCCCAACTGGAGGCTTTGGCCAGGGAGGGGCCCGAGCGCGCCATCAAGTGCTCTCGGAGGGACTTGTCTTGGGCGCTGATGACTCGCTCCTGGGGCGCCACGACCGTGGCCAGTACGCTGCACATCGCTCACCTGGCTGGTATTCGCGTCTTCGTCACGGGCGGGGTCGGAGGCGTGCACCGCGGGGCGGAGGAGACTCTGGATATCTCGGCGGACTTAATGGAGCTGGGGCGCGTGCCGAATATGGCCGTGGTCTGTGCGGGCGTCAAGTCCATACTGGACATCGAAAAGACGCTAGAGGTGCTAGAGACGCAAGGCGTTCCTGTCGTGGGCTACCGGACAGACACTTTTCCTGCCTTTTTCACGCCCGATTCGGGTCTGGGAGCCCCTTGTCGTGTTGATTCGCCCGAGGAAGTCGCGGGCATGCTGGAGGCATCCCTTTCTGCGCGTCTGCCTGGCAGCATCCTGGTTGCAGTGCCGAACCCTGCGCCTGCGGAGGCGTCAGCCACGCAAGGAGCGATCGAGGAGGCGCTGCATGCAGCTGAGACGATGGGATTAAGGGGGCAAGCCGTAACGCCCTTCCTGCTCGAGCGGGTCAATAAAGCCACGGGCGGGGGCTCACTCCGGGCGAACATTGAGCTGGTGAAGAACAATGCCAGAGTGGGTACGGAAATCGCCGTGGCGATCGCGGCACAGGAGGAAGGGGGTATGTCAAGGAATGGAGGAGGGCGGGGTATTGGGGCCATGGAGGGGCGCGAGGGAGGGAGGAAAGCAGCTGGGATGGCTGAACAAAGGCAGTCACTACCTTCTACCCAAGCGTCAAAGCCAACGGCGTCTCCTCCTTCCCGGACGCCCTCCTTTCCCCCCCGTGTCTTGGTGGTGGGCGGCGCCGTCATGGACGTGGTCGGAAGCCCGGGCTCGGACTACGGGGCCTCCTGGACATGCGGAAGCGAGAAACACCCTCGCTCACTCGACGCCCGCCTTAAGAGATTGGAGCCTGGCAGCTCCACACCGGGGAGGGTGCGGCAGAAAGAAGGCGGTGTGGCCCGCAATGTGGCGGAGGGCTTGGCTCGCCTGGGGGTGCCCACCGCCTTCCTCTCGGTGGTCGCCCAGGACCCCGCTGGCGCCGCGCTCGCCTCCTCCCTCCGTGCCTTGGCCCCCCCGCTGCTGTTGGAGTGCGGGCACGAGGACGTGATCCTCTATCAGGCCCCCGGGCCCGGGCACCGGACCGCGAGTTGTCTCGTCGCCTTGGACGGGGGGGGGGAGCTGGTGGCCGCCGTGGCGGACATGGCCATCTTCCGCGATTACCTCACGCCGGAGAGGGTGGTGGCGGGCCTAGAGACAGCGGCGGCCTTGGCCGAGGCCCGGAAAGGAGGGGAAATGGAGCCCCCTGCCGGCGCTCCCCAGGCCTCTCTGGGTCCTCACGCTGCCCCTCTGCTAGTCGTTAGCGACGGAAACCTTTCCATCGCCGCCTTCAAAGCCCTTGCGCACGCCTGCGCCTCGCGGGGGCTACCTCTCCTCTTCGAGCCCACGTCCGTAAGCAAGGCATGCCTCCCATTGCAGGCAGGCGCCCTCCACCACACGAGCCTGATCACGCCCAACCTGAAGGAGCTCGGGAGGCTTGCACACTCGATCCGGGAGGGAAGAAGGGAGGGTGCGACAGAGGGCGATATGGCGTGGGAAAGGCTCGAGCAGGACGTGGTCGCTGTGTTTGGAAAGAGGAGCTCCGGAGAGCGGGTGGAGAGGGAGGTAGTCACACGGCTGCAGGCCGACGTGGAGGTTGTCCTGGGGGCCATGGCGGACGAGGGGGAAAGGAGCGTAGGCAGAGAGAAGGAGGGAGAAAATTCAAGCGCAAGCCCTGGATGGATGGGAGAGAAGCACGTACTGGTCACGATGGGACCCCGAGGTCTCGTGTGGGCGTCCTGTCGAAGGGAGGACGGGGGGGAGGCAGCGCAGGAGGGGGGACCAGGAGGGCGTAGGGGGGCGAAGGCAAAGAGGGGAGCTATCGAGATGCGATATTTTGCTGTACCGGGTGCGACACCGGTGGAGAGGATGGTAAACTGTACAGGTGCAGGCGACACGTTCGTGGCTGGGCTTGTGGCCGCCTTAGTGCGTGGCAGCGAGCGGGGCATGGGGGGGGCCGTGGCCGTCGGGTTGGCGGCGGCGAGAGAATCCGTTCAAGTGGAGGAGGCGGTTCCCAGGCACATGACTTGGGAGGGACTAACCGGCGCGCGGTGGGGCGGGTGAACGCCGCTAAAAGTGCGGTGCATGGCAGCGCTGAAAGGGGGCTCCGCGATATGGCTCGTCGATACTGTCGCGACTTCAAATCACTGGGAGAGGAAACTCGCGTTACCGCATTGCGAAGCGCGAAACCAAGGCGTTGCATCAGTAGGGTGTGGGTCACGATGAGATTAATGTAAGTACTGCATCAAAGCAATCAGTCGAGGACTCTTGGTCACCACGTCCATCACACTCGGTCGACAGTACCCCAATGCTCACAGGATGTATGTTTACGACAACTTTATTTTTTCTTTGAACATCCCTTTGAGCATCCCTTCAAGCATCCCTTTGAACATCCCTCCCTGCAGCTGCAGTTGCTGCAACCCCATAGACTTTGTTCGACCGTTCGCGTGGACCCAGGTCTTTTCACGCCGGCTTTGCTTCTTCTCTCCCATTCCCAAACACGCACATTCAAGCCCGTACAGCCAAATACAGTGCTTTCCATTCCCCATCCCGAGCCCTTATGTCCTCCGTGACTTAATATCCCGGCTCCCAAGAACGAACTCCCTCTCTCCAGCTCCCACTCCCAGAATGACCTCCTGTGTGACGCCCCAGCCCACTCGAATGCCATTCTTCCCCTTGCTCGCGGCCCATATCCTCCCACCCAGTCTCCCTGTGCCTCGCCGTCCTACTGGGACTCCTTCATCTCCTCCCCACCCGCGGCCTGTGCATGCGCCGCGCGTTGGGCGCCAGGCTGGGGCGCCCCCGCCTTCGCCTTCTTGTCCCGCGCCTGTCGGGGGGCATGTGCTGCACGCCCCTCCTCCTCGTCTTCGCTCTCTTCCTCCTCCTCCGCTACCTTTCGGGCCGCCGTTTTGCCGCAGCCACCCAGGGCCGAGGTGGTGATAAATCCCAGGAGGACCAGGCCGGCGCAAATGACGGCCAGGAAGGCAGAGTAAGAGGGACGGACGAAGATACCGGGGAAGGCCTTGTCAAGGTCGTTGTTGATTTTGGTGTTGATGCCAAACCAGCAGGCGAAGGTGAGGAGGGCAGACGTGAACTGTACCAGCATAAAGAATGATGAGGCGCAGGCGATTTCTCGGAAGCGCTTGTTGACGATGACGCCGGCAGAGAGGAAAGCGGCGATGACACCGGCTGTCAAACCCGTGGCCAGGGAGATGATGCTGCAGGCTTGTGCTGTGAGCAGAAGGTTGCAATACATCCGCTCGTTTGTCCAAGGAGCCTGAGTAAACGGGAGCCAAAAAACATGCGTAAAATGAATCATGGAACAGAGGTCATTCTGTGCATGCAAGTACAATACATAGTTCTCCCCCTAATATCCCGCTTTTGCCCTTACTCCATCGTCCGTGGTCTCCTTCGCATTGCACCACGTATAAGAATATTGGCTCCACTGCACTTTTCCTTCCTGCATGACTCGCGCTGACATGTCGAAGATACCGAACTGAAGATCCGCGTTCGTAGGCATGCCGGCCACAGACACGTCGCGCTGGCTTGAGACAGCCCAGCGTTGCGTGAAAACAGCAGCTACCATGGCTACAAGAGCAACAAAGAATATGTTACTCCCGAGAATACCGAAAAATTTGCCAAGGCATGTCTTGCAACTCATTCTTAATGGTGATATAGAGAAGGATATCAGGCACTGCTGTGAGAAACGAGAACGAAGTGTAGAAGAAGGTGAGTGTGGTGCGAGGCCTGATCTTCAGCTTTCTAGATACTACATGATTGTTGTGTGGAAACAAATCACACGAGCAGGTATGCTTCCTCAATTGTGTTTCCCTCCAGGTAGGACGGAGCTCGGAGAAAGAGGAGGTAAGCGGCGCACAACTCATCTTCCCAATTTCGTGTTCTCCAGAAGCCACATGTGAATGGACACTAAGTATTGATAAAGAACCAATCCAACAAATCGTGGCGCGACATCAGTAGTGAATGGTTGATGTAACTGGTGAGTATACTGCAATTAGCCTTATAAAGATACTTTCCTTTGCTGTTCTGGAGACGTCGGACCTAAGCATTATGTTCTGAATAGACAAGGTCGAGACCTCACGACTCCAGAGGATCATAGGATCTCCAGGAAATGTGGCAATAGTATTTTAATCATTCATGTTATCGCGCCAGGTGCTGACTTATATAAGGATAGCATTTTTCGGCGCCTTGGACATGCATATACCCGAGAGCCTCGGCTGAGATCAGCCGCTGAGCGACGGAGATGAGAGGAACACTTCAACACTGAAAGAAAGCACGTGCAAAGTTGGTCACGACAAGGAAATCTACGAGAGCTAAGGTTGATGGCGCGTAAGGATGCTTTGGCAAAAAGGCTGATATTTGTGCTGTGAGTGTCTTCATTACTCGAACATTTTTACATTCATGCCTGCGAAAATCTCATCTCCTTTGTGAACGGCAGAAGTCAATGAACTGTTGATACTAATTGCTGTCGCAGTTATGTCGATGCGCTCTTTTCCAAAAACCCTGAAAGCCAGTCGATACCAATCTTGACATTAAAAGTGCAAAATCATTATATTTGATTTGTTTCTTTAGCTTTTTCCAGGTCTTTATTGATTATCAGATCTACAAAAAGAGATTCAGGGAAAGAACAACCCCTGGAAAAGAACAGTAAAACGTCCACTTATATTGATTTATACAATTCTATTCCCCATTCGAGAACACTAGTTTTAAGCAAGGACTGGCATATTCATAACGTAATCTCATGTTTGCATGTCGTGAGCGCCAAGAACGTACACGTTTCCCTCAAGGGGCCGAACGCTGAACCATTCGACCGAAGATGTCGAGCCTTGGCAACCCTTAGCAATCCTTCCCTCCATTCTGCCACCTTTGTTGTTATGGGGGGTAAAGACCCGCTTTTTTTTCTTAACTGATACGCTAGATCGTTCGTAGATCCAAGCACCTCTTCACAAATTCCTTCTGCTGTCAATACTGAAGCAATCAATCTGCTTTTCGGCTTTTTTTGCTGCTCGAAACCATCTCAGCCGGCAATTTGGCTGCTCCTGACATCCTTGTTATAGCATCTTCCCTTCCTGTGACATTAAGTCGTTTCCTACGCTGTCGAAGCATGTAACTGTACATGTAGGGAATGGCAAAGGGGTAGAGCACCAACAGCCCGAATAGAAGCTATTGACCCGAGAGTATAAGGTGAGGAATTTGATGAAATAACGGCATGAATTGGATTAATAAGCGATTACAATGCATTGCAAGGACATAAACCTGACAGGATTCCGCGCGTTATCGTCCGCAACCGATGTCCTCCTTTCCCTCCGCCCTCCGCAGCTCTCCTCCACTTACGAAGTAATAAAAATTCAGTATCCGCCAACTTGCGCCTTTGCCTGGCAATCGGAGGCAGAATTTATCTTCCCTCGCGACAGCCTCTCGCGCCTCCGTGAGGGTGAGGAAGAGCAGCGCCACCTCCGAGGCCATACCGACCGGGTACAGGAGGAGGAAGGCCGAGTAACGGAGCCAGACGAGGGCAGGCGGGGCATTACTGCCCATGAGGTAGAAGGGGTAGCTAGGGGGGGAAGAAGAGCGGCGCACACAGGGAAAGACATGATCCAGCAATGTGAGGCATGCATTAGAGGCCGTAGAGGAGGCTCGATCGCGACTGAGAGCTCCTTCAACTCACTGGCCTTCTTCCCATTTATCCTCCTTCTCACCGGACCAGCTCGCCGCATGACCAAGCAACCAGCAGGGCTGGGAGCCAAGCCACTGTCCGCGGGGTCTGGAAAGAGTCCACGATCGCGAACAGGACGAATGTCCGCCCGAAGTTCTGCCAGAACGCGGAGGAGACGCTGCCTCCGGCCAAGCCAAGGGCCACGTGCACCAGCTCCAACCAAGCCCCAGCTAGTCCCGGTAGAAGTGGGGCATAAGTGATAATAAAAGCGACATGAGTTGTGATTAAGACGCCTCAAAGGAGCCTCGGTACCGGCTCGCGTCGGGGCACCAGCAACGCTTGCGGCGCATATTGACGCGACAAGGCCACGGTAGTACGACCGTCATCAAAGCATTCAGACAGGCAAATGAGCAGAGAAAATTGCCAAACTCTTAGAATCTGCCCGCTTTCTCACTTAATCAACCAGCGACCAAAAAACTCATCTGGGGCAAGCGAGTCAACTTGCTCCCTCCACGACGGGTCCACCGACCAAGGTGCCCCACACTCACCAACAGCCAATTTTGCCGCAGGACCCGCAGCAGCCCAGACACCGCCATAGTCGTGCACATTTGAAAACAAGGCAGATAGGGTCAAAGCCAACACAGTAGCCCACAGCCCAGTTTGCGCGAGATTGTACGAGGAGAGGTAAGCGCGCTTGAATTCACGGGCTAAATTTCGTGTCGTTCCATCGCCCCTTGTCTCAGCTGACATGATAGTCAGGATCGAAGAGGACGCGCGACTTGCTGGTGTTTTAGCGCTCTGGAGATGAGTATGATGGGGTTTGAAAATGAGGAACAAATATTGGCGTGCGCTAAATATGAAGCAAGTGCGCTTCTCCAGGTAGTTAAGATTTAACAAAATTTACCAGGCCTTATCTTGCAATGATCCGACAATTTGCTGCATGGTTGAGTGAGCGGGTTGATCACATAAATGGTAGTGGGATTTTATTGAAATGTGTCCTTGCATCACGCAATGCCTGTTATTTAGCCTTGCCCGACATTCCTGCCACTAATCGCACGTTCCAGGTATGAAAAGATGAGCATCCCGATACTGAGCCAATGACAGTTTGTAAGCATGCCTACCAAGCTATATGCTCAGCTTGCTTCGGGACCCTGTTATTACTCTCTTCAACCCCTCTTGACGGGTTGCTTTGACATCGCCTCGCTTGAAGGGTCAAGGCAATAATGCATAGACACCTCTCTTTCTTTATCGTGGAGTGAATTCCTAACAAAGCATCGTCCGTAAGCCTTCATCCCTCCAGCGTCTAATCGTATAAAACCTAAATTATACATTACCTTTCGATAGAGCGTTTTTAAAGATGAGGAACCCATTTCGTAATGCGTTTCTGGAGCCATAGCTCAGCGAATTTCGGTCCTCTCCCAGGCCCCGCCCGCGCGGGGATGACGGAGAGCGTTAGAGAGTGGTAGATTCCAGTTCAGGTTCGAGTCCCCACGGGGACCAGGACCCCGAAGGGACATCCTATTGGTCAAGGGTTCACAGGAGCAGTGTGTCGCACATAATGGTGCGGGATGGGTTCCTGGCCTAGAAACCCCTTTGGCTTCAGTTTCATTTTTATACTTTTGCATTCCATGTGATCACAGGCCTCCACTGTCTCGTGTCGCGCGCATCACTGCACAACTTGGTTTCACGGAGGGGGTAACATGGGTCATGTAGTCCATGCTTGTGAACGCTCCTACAATATTACACTAATTGCCTGCGGTACTACGCCGACAAAATCGAAATCCAACAGATGTGAGGAGAGATTTTTCACCCTGCCCGCTAATTTCTCTCCACACGAACCCAACCTGAAAACAGGCCAATGCGTTTCTCGGGAACTGTCTTGGATATGTCAAACATGATGATAGGACAGACAGTCAGCCGCGTAAAAGCCCTTCAGAGGAGTATAGCAAATTCATCTTCATTTATTTTACGGCTGTAAAGACTTTTGAAACACATCCGCCGACATGTCAGCCCCTCTGTCACCCTCTTTGCTCCCCCCTCGAGGCCTGGTGTCTGAAGAGGAGGTCCAGGCATGGGCAACGTTCGTGGCAGGCAGCTTTGCCTTTAAGAAACCCGTTCCACCCACTCGAGATCACTTCCTGCGACACTTTCGTAATGACCCGTATTCGCATGACAAGGCATGTATTCGAGTTATCATGGAGGATGACGCGCAAAATGAAATAGTGGGCTCAGCACGCCTAGTGTTGCGGCCCCTTTCTACGGGAGGATGGGCGGCAGGGGTTGCTGAAGTCTGCGTCGCACCACGGCAGCGAGGGAAAGGCTTAGCCCAGCGTCTTGTTCAAAATGTGCTGGCCACAGCGGCATCTTTGGTATCTCCTAAACCCAGTCTGAGCATGTTGCATTGTTCTCCATCGTTAGTTTCGATGTACGCCGGGATGGGATATGTACCGGTGTCCACACGATGGGTGCATGTCTGGTTGAAAAGCACGCTGATGGAGCAGGCCGAGGGCGTTAGCGTGCAGTGCTTGGATTTCGATGCGAGCAACAGCGCGGAGGTGCTCCAAGAAATGGCTGTCCTCCCATCTGCAGTCGTTGAAGTCATTGCACGGGACGTTCCTTACTTCCTTGCGTGGACTAGAAACGAGGTCCTGGCGGCACCTCACACGGACGTTTGGGGCGTACGGGCGAAAAGCGGAAAGCTGCTTGCATACTGCTCTTTGCGGCGTCGAGTCGACGGCTCCATGATGCTGGTGGATATGCGCGTCTCTGTCGGCGAGGACATCGTAGCCATCATCCGCGACGTAATCAACGCAGTCGCAAAATCTTCCGCTACATCGACTCTTGATGGTGCGTCTTCTACGGACGAAATAGAGCTGTGCATACCTGCTGTTCTCGTCGAGAAGGATGCTATGACAGGCTTGTGCGTCGAGGAAGGGGAGACGGATCCAGGATGGATGTACAAGCCCCTTGCAGACAAGCTAACTTCTGAGGAATGGCAAACGTTCATAGCGCGGTACAGAGCTCAGGAGGGAGCTAACGTTGCACACTTGGTCTGGCCAATAGACCATTTTTGAACGTGATGACATGTGAAGTCGACTGTAAAAATTAAACAAACTGTGTGACTTTGCCCCACGTTCGATGTCGTAATTTTGAAGGGCAACGTGGTTCCGTATATAGCAGCTCATACGACTTATTTCGCTGAAAATGTGAGTGCATATGGCCTCTGTCCCCCTGCTGCCGCTCAACAACCTGCCACATCTCACCAGTCTGCCCCCTCCATGCATCGTATGCCTCTTGTTGTTTGGAGGACTTGCAAAGCGTTGCGACCTCGTGCACGAATGGCTCGGTTCTGATCGAGGAAGATGTTGAGGAGCTTGGGGCAGTACAATCCAATCTTTTCCTCCTCCGTTCGCCCGCCCCCCATGCCAGACTCATGCTCTCCAGCGCAGGCTAAAAAGTCCCTGAATGCACAAGCTCCATCATCACCGATCCTATTCTCCTTCAAATCTAAAGTTTCTAGGAGCAATCTTGGACGAACGTGACTTATCCTCTCTTCGTCACGGCCTCCATCTGACAGATGCATGGCGAAGGCGAGTGCCCCTTCGTTTCCTATGGCGTTGGACGCTAAGTCTAGCTCCCGCAGAACCACCATGCCCTCCAAACAGCCAGCTACGGCTCTTGCTCCTGCGTCTCCAATCTTATTATAGCCTAGGTACAATTCGTCCAGACACGGCATCCCTCCACCGGCAGATATCCCTTCCGCCAATGAGGCCACGCCCCGATCACCTAATCGATTCAAGTGCAAATCTAGTTTTCGCAACCGTTTAAGAGCTGGGGCTGCGAGGGCATCGCCGATGTACATAGCCGACAAGTGCCCCAGATTGTTTTGTGCGAGGCTCAGGGACGTCAAGAGAGCGCTAGGCACACCTGTTTTCAACACCTGGCAAAGAACACCTACAGAATCTCGAGCGCCCCCGACAGCGAGCCTGCCTATCGCTTCGTCTATTGCCATGCCAACATCGTCGTCACTATCACACGTAATTTGATTGGCCCGAATGTAGATACCTCGTAGGTGAGAATGAAAGCCTCCTTGTCCGAGTGCCTCGGCCAAAGCAAGACAGCCCTCACTTCCGAGATTGTTATCCCATAAACTCAGAGACGATACGCACTGAAATACACCATTTACTGCAGCAAGCCTTCCTAAAGTAAGCAGGATACTAGGAGTGAGTTCTGCTGAAGAGAGATCCAGAATTTGGAGTGCTCGACAGGGCGGTAGATGACGGGCAATTAGGTCCTCTACTACAGCCGCAGGAAGAGGCTTGGTGGGCCGAAAAAATGACAGTCCATTGCCCACAAGATTGCTTCTGCCATTTTCGTCCTTGAAAGCTAGATTACGGGCCGTGCTGACCAAGTATGAAATGTCTCTTGGCCAAAGATAGGCACAAAGTTCATAAAGAACAGCAGCGGGCAGATTTGGCAATGTCGTTGCAGTTATTTGCCCACTCTCTCGGCCAATGTCACGTTCTTTCATTGGCGGAAAATGAAAAGTTAATTTTCATAAAGTACCCTGCAGAATCGCGCAGATTAGTGCGCGGAATGTGGGAACAGGAAGAAACAGCAAGTGGATTAATTATATTCCTATGGCAATTCATTGCACGTCAAAACCCGCCACGTACCATGCTTTCGCCGTCGTCGTTCTTGCTCGCCGATTCACGTCGGAACGCTAATAACCGCACGAATGTTCAATAACCACTTGACACCGTTCGAAATTCGTGAACTTAAAAGTATAAATACATCATAAATCGTAGATGCTTCTTGCTTCCGTCCGCCGCGCCACCTCAAAGCATGTACGTTCCCCTCATAAGATGCTGAGCATCCTACCGTGACGCCTAATTTGCCAACATGAAAAACTCTTTTCACCCCACATTCAAAGACCAAAGAATAAGTAGATACATTTAAAATACTTTTTTCCTATGATCTATATGTACATTTTTATTTGAACACTTACCCAACACTTTCCTTTGTTATTTATCTGCACGACTCTCCTCTCGTTATTTTGTTTTTTGCAGGGAGCCGAGGCTGCCGCCATGCTGGCAGTTGCCGGTGCGACCATGGGGACGCTCGTGATGTCCGCTCAGAGCGAAGCAGTGTGCTCCAATCCAGCATGTGAGGCAGCTTACGAGCATGTGCGCAATGGACGGCCCTTTCCCATTGCGTTTGCTGCCATAGCACGCGCCCTTCGGAGGGGGCACGTAGTAGTTATAGATCCGGTAATGAGCGATCAGGAGCTTCTCGCCGCCCAAAATGATGTCAAGGCCTTACTACGACAAGGTGATGGTGCGTTTGCAGTGAACGCAAATGACGACAGCAGCGTGCGGCTTGACTCCGTTACATGGGTGACAGGGGAAGAGGCGGGGACTGGTCCGGGCCTGAAGCACGCAGTGGCCTTGTTGAAAGGTCTGGCGCATGAATTCTCAAGGACCCCCGAGTACAGTAAGAGTGTCTTATTTGTGCAGTCTGCGGCGCAACTAGCGTGCTATGCTGGGGACGGCCAAGCTTTTTATGCACCGCACCTGGATGCTTCTACAGAGAGTGTATGGACACTGGGACTTAATGCTTGGCTCCGTGCGCGCGCCTACCGTGAGAGAACGATCACGGCTATTCTTTACTTGAATGACAAAGATTGGGATGCAGATCTGTCTGGTGGATGTTTGCGATGCTATCTGCCTTCCGCTCTTGCCCAGGGAGGGATGCATGACAAGCCTAGCGGTCTTGGCGAGCTTCCTGCGACAACTACCTCTGGCTCAAGAAGGATAAGTCAAGACAGAAGTAAACCCAAAGCCCATGCCTACGAGATATGTGGAGACCATGGCATTACTGCACTACCGGTCTCTTTAGAATCAGATCGGGCAAAGAGCGACGACAAGGTGAGCGGGTCTCTCGGCGTTATGCCGCGAGACGTGGCGCCACGGGGGGGGCGTCTGGTCCTCTTCGACAGCGGAGCTGTCCTCCACGAGGTCCTACCCTCTTATAAAAAGGGTGGACAGCGCATAGCTTTGACTGTGTGGGTGAGCGACCGACAAAGCCGAGAATTCGTTCAAAATAAATAAAATCCGGACTTGCCTCAAAAGCGTTCAATCTACTTACAGTTCAATTGTTTCATTCCACATGAAAACCGACTAGCTCATGCTCCATCCTGTGGCATTTACGTTCCTTCCGCACCGTCCTCGAAAACGACATCTAGCAAGGTTGCATCAAAGACCGGGGGCTCGCTGTCCCAGTCGGCCGCACACTCAGGCACCAGACCCGAGTTCGCGTTTTCAAGCGCCTCGTATTGCTGCCCGCATTGCGTGCTGGTGGACAAGGTGGAGGTGATAGATACGGTTCCGGAGGAACATGAATCCATGCTGTGCCCAATAGACGAGGAGGGACCCCCAGCCAAATCCGTCGGCGCCAAACCGTCCGAGAACGGCGCTCTGAGCAGTTTGCGTCCCACCTGCTCCTTCTCAGCTTGGCTCATAGTCAACTCCACAGCTTGTATCCAACGCGCTGCTCCATCGTCTCCACTGCCAAAAGAAGGAACGACAGCAGAGGAAGGACTGTCCTTCCGCCCAAAGACAGCCTCTACGTCTGCCTGACGTTCATACATGCCAGGGGTCGCACCAACGGGTATCGTGGCCACCCCCGGCAATAAAAAGGCATCATCTCTCACTGACTGGCTTACTTTCTGTTGCGCGTCTTGTGAAGACGATTCGCTGCTTCTTCCAGTTACCCCTTCCTGAATTTGCGCCGCCTCAGACATTATATGCACGCTGGGCGAAACGCTTTTCCTAATTATTTCTGTCGTCAGGCATTTACCTTCGTCTTTCCGGCCATCCTTTAAGGTGGAGCCGGCGATTTTCGTCACGTGGTTCGACCTGGGACAAGGCTCGAGTGTGATGGCAACAGATCCCGTTCCCACTGATGGTAAGAATCTTGCCTTCACCAAAAAAAGTTGAATATTGCCTTCTGTGCACACGAGTTTGAAAATTTGGGTTTTTCGCCATTCTCCATTTGCATTTAAAGGCCCTTTGGAAACGGCCTCGATCATGAAACGGGTCCACTCACGTCTGTCCTCGGGAGAGACCAGACCAAGGTAGAGGATACACGGCATTGTCTTGCGCAATACTATATCGTTGTACATGCGGTCAGCACCTCGGAAATAAGTGTCAAACGCGTCGTTGGTCACTTCCAACATCAATCCATTGGGAGTGTTGCAAGTTAAGTGAATTGCAGTGCTAGGAGGGACTTCCGCCAAGAGGGCCTTGAAAGCAGGATGCTGCTGAATTTGTAGCATGCCGTTCGCAACGAAGTCTCGGAACTTCTCACTCTGCTTCCTCATGACTGAAAGAGGGTAGTCTAAGTGCAGTCTCTCCGTGTCCTCGAAATCGATGGGAGAGAAATTCAGCAAAAGCGCCACCTCTCTCGCCATGCCCCAAGACGTGTCCGCACCCACCACAGTCGAATGAAGCCACCAGGTCCGAATTAAATTCGCAAACCACGATGTTCTGAGAGTCGATAGCGCTGCTTTCGACTTCTCGTCCCAAGTTTTTACTTCCATGATGCTGTCGAGGTAGATGCCAGCCAGAGGTCTGGGGTCCATGCGGTCGAAGATGAGTTCTAGCAAGATAGTTCGATCAGTCTCAGCACGCATGGCTATCGCCAGTGCGTCTTCGACGTCCTTTTTGTTCCGTTGATCCCCTCCACGTTTTCTAACCCCCGTGCAGCTGCTGTGCTTTGAGCCTCGGGCCCTCTTCACCTTCTCACTTGGGCATCTGCAGTCCTCGGCGCTATCGTTTCCTTTGTACGGCCTGGGCACCTGGGGCCGGCAAACAAGGGAGAGATGGAAGCAGCGTAGACTACAAGGGTGTAAGACATGGAAATCTATCAGTCGATTATCGTGTCAAGATCTCTCTCATACTAATCTACGAGACATCAGCTGTACTCTGACTTCTTTGGTAGTCAAAGATTCTCAGATTCCCAACTTACCAAGGAAGCGAGCCCGTGCAATGAACTTTAAGCTTACGACAGCGCATGCATGCGGTGCCGCGAGTTTTCGTGTTGCCAGTAATCGTATTGTCCTCCGTTTGGTGCATGAGGGACCGCGGATTGAGAAGCATTAGCTGCGGCGGTGAGTCATCACGCGGAATCTTTCGGTCGTCTAGATGACTCGCTGCCATCTTGTGCGCTTGTTCTTTATTTCTGTTTACATTCACAACTTCCATGTATGGCTGGGAAACCGGGCGTGAAGAAAGTTTTGAGTTTGAGGCGCGGGTTATGTTTAAAGCATCGCCTGATTTTCCAGGACCCACGGCTGACACCTCAGATATACGGGGTTCTTAAAAACATCCGTTAGCCATACAAACAGTGAACCACAAAGGTGTTGAGATTTATGAAGAGCACATGGAAGACCTCTGTCCCATCAATACATATCCATCTCTATGACGACCGGGTTCTACGAAGGGGGCCGAAAACAGTTCGTGGAATGTTAGGTCGTTCCTGCCAACCACGAAAATGCCCGGGCCAATGGTCACGGAGGTTTTCTTGCAAGAACATGGCAACCTTTTTGCCAACGAAGCATGCACTGTGTACCCGCGGCGCGCGGCCCGGCAATAAATGGTGGAAAGGGTGCTGTCCGACATCGAGATTTTATGGCGGACGGGGCGCGAATGGCGGTAGCCGGCCGTCTCGGATGTTCACCCCGGAGCATTCCCCGAGAATTCCCGGGAACAGCGTCGTACAGGTGGCTTTTAAGGGGAAAGACGGTCACGTTGAGCTCACCGAGTCGTACAGCCTTGCATTTCGGGATGACGTCGGGTTGTTGACCGTGGCCGTCTCCATTTTATGGGTGAAGTGCTGGAGGGTCCGTTGTTCACTGTCACCGCGCTTCTGTCGGCTTGTGCCGTCTTTCAACTTCTATCCAGGAATAGGCAGCGACGCAAACTAATTTAAATAAATGCAAATAAGACATGGAGGTCACGCGGCTATGACACAAATACGTTCGTTTGCGAAATTTCTACATTACCACACAACTTTTGGATTAAATTGATATTTTAAATTTGGAAAAACTTGTCTGCGGGCTGGCACGCATGAATTAGTAGGATTATTCGAGCGCCGCCCCCCCAAAAAGCTCTGATGACTTTCGAGCATGGAGTTGATTGTTACAGACTGTTTTCATACCCTCATACTATGCTTGTCTCTAGTCTTGATGCATGTTGGAAGAGGTTGGCCGATAACCTTGCATATCGAAGAGTGTCACTCCGTTGCCTTCAAGATGAAGTTTCAGGACAGCCTAGTTTTCAATAACCTTGTTTAATTTTTATCAAAGTAAGGCATATTTTGGAAAGACATCTTTTTCTCCCAAATTGCTTTTCCCCTGCCAATATTGATGGAACATTACTATATAATTTGAACAGGAAATTAGAAAAAATGAAGTTTTGTAGGAAAAAAAAAGAAAATCATGACCAGACGTAGTTGAGTCTTTGAGCTTAGCATCAGCAAAACTTGAATGTCTTGAGTAGTGGCCCAATCTCGTGGTCTTTCTTGACAGTCTGTGCGTGTGCTATCCTACGACTGTCACATTCTACTTCTACTCCCGCCTAAAGTTCATCATTCTTTTCATCCGCCGATCCGTACATTAATCGCGCGTTCTCCCGCATGATGTCCTTCCACTTATCAGGATCGGAGGCAGCAGCACGAAGGTCTGGATCCTCGAAGGTATTGAGCCATTCCTAAGCGTTCACGTGAAGATAGGGTAGGTTCGAGAGAATCTTAGCTACCTGTCACCCTCGTTCCACGTTGTACCGTATCATTCTTCGCACGAACCTCGTTTTCCAAAAAGTTTTTCCGCGCGTTCTCCATCTTTTCCGGGTCATCCAGTGACCTCTTGAGCTGCATGAGGGTAAGCATTCGGGCATGAATGGCGCCATCCATCACATGGACCCCCGTGTACGCGGATTTCTGACCATCTCTTACCCTGCTCGCAACAATCGAGAAAACGTCAACTCTCTACATGTCGACTCTTTTTCAATCCTCACCTCATTTCCCATCCCAGCGAATATCTCCGCCAAGTTTGCGGCCGCCTCCTCGATAGCATCGTCCTCTCCGGCCAGAAGTGCCTTCATTTTCTGTGCCGGCGACACAAGGTAATTCAATAAATAAACACGACGCCTTCTCTCTCATTGTCACAAGCACGTCGATTTCTTCCCTCCCGTGACGGGTTGAATTCCCTCTAGTCCTCCCTATGTGCTCACCCTCTGCTCAGAAGGGTCCAGGTTCTTCAACAGCTCTGCCATGACTTCCTCCCGCTTGCCCTCGTCGTCGACCATGTCAAGGATAGTATCGGAGACCTATGTAATCGAGCAGGGGGCAAAAATGATGAGAAGGGGTTGACAGCGCAGGCACAGGAGGGAAGAAGCCGAGGCGGAGAGCAGAAATTCGAGGCACGCCTACCTCTTTGAACTCATCCATGCCTTTCTGAAACAGCTCCTTGAGTTTCTCAGGGTCGTCGAACTCGGGCTTTTCCAATATCCTAAGGGGAGGAAATAAAGTGACACAGACGAATTCTCACAAACTTTACCTTCTGAGATCATTCCTTCTCCCCTCTTGCCCCCATTCAGACCCTCCCAGCGCCAACTTGGCCACTCAAAACATGAGCACCCTCTGCTTCCTTCCCACACACTCTCCTTACTTTTCTAAACCCGGCAGATTTTCGAAAAGAGGCGACTCCCGCAGCGCTTTCTTGAGAAGAACAGGGTCGTCCATCATCGCCTGTATCTCTGGAGACTGTGCCGTGGAAGAGGGGTGGTCAAGGGAGGCACGAATAGACAGGGTGAAACGCATGTCGGGAGAGGGGGAATGAGGAGGGAAAAACGTGTCACTTGCATTCATGGCCTCTTCGACGACGCTCTTCATGTCCAGGTCGCCAATATCCAGGTCCATCGCTTTCAGCATGTCGAATGGGTTCAGCTCCTCCTTCCTGATGTTAAGCGACATACGCATATGGTGGAAGTGG